TGTCAGTCCGCATACAAACATGAACTGCACATATACAACCATCAAAAACTGTTGCAACGATTGACATGTGGCGGAGGAGCAGTGCGCCCATCCTCGATTACCTTCAGACTTCTGGACCCGACTGGCAAAATGTTGTCGGCACGACTACGAGATCATTCACCGAGCCGGTGTTGTACAGAGCATAGTGACCGTAAATTTGATCGCACGTATCTCAGAACCTCTCCCACAGACACATCAGACCTTGGTTTTACTTCGCAGCTACTCTTGCATCTCCTATAGGTTCAACGGATCACGCTACTTATGCTTGAATGTCTCTTTTGTTTCCTTAATTATCGTTCTGTTTGGATGATTGTTTAGATGGGTCACTCATTTACTGCTCACTACTGAACTGCTCACTGAACTACTGGGCTGACTTCGAACTCGGAAAACTGCTGGGGAAGTGCAAAATCCTATAAATTAGGTTCCAGTAAAAAAACCTTCGGAGGACCATGGTACTGACAAGAATCGCTATAACTATTGTAGGCCTCTCAAAATAAACACCTTACAGGTTTATGAGAGGAACGGGCACTCCCTAGACGTATGTATACACCTAGAAGCCAGGATCCGATATTCTCCCGACTTCCACCTCTCGACTTCCCCTGTCTAGGCTTGGGCAACCTGGCACTATCTCAGCCCTCGTGCTTTCTTCGGGTACCGAAAGGGTGCTACAGCTAAACTACATATTTTTGTTGAAGGAATTGACAATCCGTGCTCATTTCAATCCAGAGACTGACCATTGACGAAGATCGATGCCGAAGCGCTCTGTTTCACCGGTATCCTGCTCCAAATATCTTTTCGTAGGTTTGTCAGACCGCTCACCACTTTTGAAAAAGTCCGGGGTGTAAATTACGCGGTTTGACCGCTTTGTCGCTTTTGGGAAGTGCTATTATGTCGAATTACTGTTGCTGGTATCGATTTTCCAGTCACTCTGGGTCATTCTAGATACTGTTGGGGGATGCCAGCTGAATAGTACTTTAACTGTTCGGTTTGTCTCTCGAAACGAAGATTCTGCCGAAAAACTCCCACTCCGTCTCAGACAGTTCTGCGCACGTGTTTTGGCGGATGATCGGTTCAGTTGGATTGTGGTCGGACTGTTTCCTGCATCAAAAGTTTTCCCGTTGCTTAGACCTTTGAAGCCCACCGGCGTTCTCCGTCATTTTTCAGCTTCTTAAATTATAGGCATTTGGGGAATCTGCGTGCGCCATCATGGTCCCTAGTTGCTCGTATGGATTTTCTGGAATCAGTAAAATCTACTGTTGTGCGAATTTAACAGACACTCCTGAAAACTGAGCGGATAGACCTTCCCTTTATCCCTCAAATACGGTTATCAGCGTTATGTGTCTTCAGTAGCTTTTCAGTCAGATCAACCCAGTAGTCAAAGGAATTACCATGTTTTGGCATGCGAGTTGATATTCGGGCGTGCTTGGAGTCACGTTTTGTGTCCTAGAGGGGACAGCAATTTTTACTTGAGGCTATCCACCAGTAACTGACGATCACCTGGTGCAGCTGGGTTCATGAATGGCTTGCGCTCGCTTGCTTGTTTGACGATCTGTACCCTTGAAGCATTGCACATGTATCATGGAAAAATCGAATCGTCACTGTCGAAGCGCGACGAATGGTTTTTGGAAACAAGTCAACTGTCTGACCAACTGATGAATTAGTTTGGCTGCACAAACTATATAGCCGGATTGGCCATGTATTCATACTACGTTATCAATGGCCTCGCTCCCTGCTGGAAGATACTACGAGGTGAACACCTCGTGATCTGGAATCAGTATAAAAAAGAGCAAAGGCCCTTGTTCCTTGTCGTCTACAAGGTTTATCAAGGGTCTAATAAGTCCGATGGATGGATGTACCAACTGACATGCTGATGTCTCGCAACAAGTGGCGAATTGGTATTCACTCGTCCTGACTCGTCAACTCGCCGTTTTTTTCTTTTTCATTTATTTTTCTGTAACTCCGCTATCACAGACTACCCGCAACCAAGGGCTACGGCGACCGCAACCGCGTACATACGTACGCGATTCATCGTTGCTATGCCGAAATCAACTGATCCATACAAAATTAAGCTTTGATAGATGCGGTATGAGACATGCAGCATCTATGAGGTTATTTATTGTCTTTTCAGTTTGTCCTTAGTCCTGAGGTTGGTCTGTAATATAATACAGAGATCACCCGTTGTTGCATTCTGTTTCAGATCTTTCTGTTGATGTCGTTGGGATACGATGTTTTGATTACTTTGGGCGGCGCATGCGACCCGCCAGCTTGTCCAACCAAGACTTCTTGTAGTCGATGGATGTAGTCCGCAGCATCTTTAGACTGTGAGCGAACTGTGTAGTCAACTAAGGCACTTAATCCATCTTCATCAAGCCGCCTCATGCAAGCTGTCTACGGAGCTTCAGTGTCCTTCACCTTCCTACACCCTTTTTCGGACATCAGGATATCACGCGTGACTGTCATCTGAGGGATCTTTTTGGACACTTTCATTGGCTTTTGGATCCACAGGGTTCAATGGGGCGAGAGGGCCCAAGTGGTTAGATTGCGAATTTACTGACTGGAAGGTCCGTGGTTCGAACCCGACCTCTGCCTCTCGACTTCCCCTGTCTAGGCTTGGGCAAGCTGCCTTCTTGCAACCTTCGGGTAGCATGGCAGTTAGGCACCGAAAGAGTGCTACAGCTGAACGATGGACAGAACTCTCAGCTTACTTCTTCGATACGCGCAAGATTCCCAGTGACTAGGGGTGGAAGCTGCCGACCAAAAGTTCTTTGTTTCGAACCCGACCGCGTACGCCACAATGAGCGGTGGATCTCGTCACAATCAGCAGCTCACATTGATATCAGGAAAACTATATCAGCAGCAAAAACTATGGTGACGCGCGCAGTTCCATCGCTAGTTGATAGGGAAGACCCGAGGAGTGGGCTTGTGGGGCGGGAAATAGCCGCGCATTACTACGGCCAATCTGATCTGCTGCCCTCAGAAAGGTAGTTGTTTATGAAACCACCGAAAAAGGGGATCGGACCTGAATTCACTCACAAAACGCCTCGAACAATGGAGTAAACACAGTTCAGCTCTATCCCATCAACCCAACCTCTGAAAGGATCATATGATACCAAACGGAAAGTCGACACCCGTTCGCCATCGATAATGCAAGTCCGGCGTCCTATTTCATCATTTCAGCATAACAAAGCACATGACCCAAAGGGAAAGCATCCTGCGCTCTTCATAGGGTCATTTTTGGATAGCCTGACAAAATTTTCCAGATATTTGGGATGAAGACATCATCGTCAGAATGCTCCGCCTCGACGTTCGTCATCATCATCATCGACAGCATAACATCAGTGTTCAACACTGTTCGCTGCCGTAACTTAAAAGATTTATTTTGGATAAAAAGAGAGTGGACGAAGAAGGGCCACCCGAAGAAAGCACGACGGCTGTGGTACTGTCAGGTTGCCCAAGCCTAGACAGGGGAAGTCAAGAGGCAGAGGTCGGGTTCGAACCACGGATTTTCTATGCAACAATTTCGCGCTCTAACCACTGGGCCACTTCGAAGAACGGACTTAGTGCTAGCTTACCACAATCATTCGGTGGTGCTTATCTTTCCACACACTCATTCAAGCAATCTGGATAGAAACTGAAAACGGGGACGCCACTGATATCGATTAGCAGCCATACATTGCAGCGTCCCTAACAAGGCGCTGTAGGGATCACGCGGTCCTCATTCTGGAAGTGGAGCAGCACCCAAACGTTTTGCAATTTCCTGCATGCTCCTTTACCACTTCAAAGGTTGACCGGGGCTCTATATATGCCACTCTAGACTGGACACCGTAAACAGCACGCTATTCAGCAAACGAAAGTTCGACGTACGTATTACATAGCCCAACCAACCAACGCAGCTTCTGGTACTAGACACATTTTTTGATTGAAATCCCTGTTGCACAACCGAACGCTCGTTTCTAATTGTTTCGTTACGAATTTGCCGGCATAAGCCTAAACGAGCGGTGATTTTGAGACAAGAGTTGTCGAACACGTCTCGGTTCCACTGCTCCAACAAACCACGTCTCATAGCCAAACGATTACACAGCCCGCACTGTAGCTAGGTTCACACGTTCCTTGCATCCATAGGTGACTCGAATTAGCGAGCGCGATCCGAGCCTGACAGATGCGTGCACTGATCTCATCTGCCACACTACAATCGGAACTAATACAACCTCCAAGGTACGTAAAACACTCCACAACCTCCGGTGTCTCCTTGGATTAAGTAGCATGTGCAGTGTCCAGGTGTATAACCTTACAATTTGTGAGTACAAAGCGCATGTCAAATGAAAGGATGACCTATTTTAGTTCACTTCGAGGAATCTACGCCTTCCATCGAAGACGAAAATGACGTCTTCTGCGTATTCCGGTGTTAAGGTGAACAGAAGGGCCAACCGAGCTAAATACGTTTTGGAGATCCAGAAATGTTAAGATTATAGGTGGTTTGTACGAATGGTGCTTTCCTTGCACCTGACGGAGTGTGAAGATTTCCTCAGTACAACTTTTACCAGACCGGAACCCCGCTTGTCTCTCTTGCGTCCGTGTTTCGTGAGCCACCATTGGGTGACGAAGCGTAAGTGACGCCGGTGGTCTCGTTATAACTGATGTTGAGGTGACCCCTCTGTGGTTACCACACTTACTATGAGCCCGTCTTTTTGATAATGGGTATTATCAGCGACTCACCCCAGTTATATGGAACAGTCTCCTTTTCTGAAATACAGGCATACAGAGCAGACAAGCGCTGACTGGGGACTTCACCCCCACCGTCGAACAATGCAGATGGGAGGTCAATCGGACCAGAACCTTACTGGCGCTTGGGAGAAGGCGTGTAGTCGTAAATATCCGAGACCTAAGGGCTTCCAGGTCCACCATCCAGACGAGTGGCAGCTGATGGCCGCGATAATTATTGTTTGAAGTGTTCGACCCACCGGTCGATGCGTTCTTGTTTATTGAATATGGTCTCTCCCTTCTCATCTTTGGAGGTTTCGCTCACAGATTGTTTCCGGGGCCAATTCGCACGGATCAACTGAAATAATCTTCGGTCACTACGGGCCTCTTCCATTTCCTTAGCTTTCTGAGTCTACCACACTTCACGGCCGGATTGCACGCTCACCTTCACTTGACATCTGATAATTCATCGCATCAAGTTATGTTCGGGGCCGGGTGGGATATTTCTCCGAGATTTAAGGGGTGCCACCCTTCGGTCTGACGAGAACCTCGGTCACAACGGACAGGTAATCATTGGTGTATTCCCAACTCCAGTTGACGATAATACGAAATACAGGAGAGCAGACAAGCGCTGACTGGGGACTTCACCCCCACCGTCGAACAATGCAGATGGGAGGTCAATCGGACCAGAACCTTACTGGCGCTTGGGAGAAGGCGTGTAGTCGTAAATATCCGAGACCTAAGGGCTTCCAGGTCCACCATCCAGACGAGTGGCAGCTGATGGCCGCGATAATTATTGTTTGAAGTGTTCGACCCACCGGTCGATGCGTTCTTGTTTATTGAATATGGTCTCTCCCTTCTCATCTTTGGAGGTTTCGCTCACAGATTGTTTCCGGGGCCAATTCGCACGGATCAACTGAAATAATCTTCGGTCACTTGCGGCTTTATAGGCTTATGCCATATCCTTAGCCTTCTCAGTCCCCCAAACTTGACGGTCGGCACGCACTCACACTTCCACCTGACGTCTGACGGTTCATCGGGCCAGGTCATGGACATTGATTCCCATATTCTAAAGGTCTACGAGAATAGTGTGCGCTGGAGCGTCAGTCTGATATGTATGGTTTACGAGGTGTTTTCTGGTATAATTCGATGCAGGTTGATCCGCCATCGGGAGAGTCAAATTAGCGAGAATCAATTTTGGTCTCCCTATGGTGTAAATGGGTTCGCTCCACTCTCTCCGACGGCCAACAACAGTCCTTTATCTTAGTACGAAGACTTTTAGCCCACACTGACCCTGAGAAGCCATGACGCTGTTTAGCAATAAAGAGTTCAGTCTCATCGGTAACTGCCGTCTCCCGGGCGGAGACCCCGAGACGGAACCAATCAATGGTTATGGACCGTGACACTGGCTGTGTCACGCATCCGACGGAGATCTTGCATGAAACCTATCGCCTTCACAGGCTCTTACTCCATGCCATAACTTCCATGAACTTGTAGTGGTTAACGGCCCTATGGAGTCTCTAGTGAACTGAACAGATTACTGATGTAAGCCAGATACAAAGTCACAAAGAGAAAAATACGAGTAAATTATGACTCACAGTTCAAAATAGGAGATTCCGTAGTTCCGTATTCCGTTGAACCACCACACCAAGAATAGTTCTATCTTCCTGGTATCCCAGATCTCCGGTGATCGAAATATTATTCCACAAGCGTGAATATATTAGTCCAGTGTTTGTAGCTGAAATGTTTGTTCACGTTTAGTGTTAGCAGCGGTCAAATATAGCCAACCGGCGGTCACAACAACAGTCACTCAGCAGAAGTCTCAAAGTCACGTTGGAGCCAACCAGCGGGCCGTAGCGGTTGTATTTCGGTAAAACAAACTTTTGTACATCGATGTGACTGATAATGATGGGAAAAAGGAAGATGATACTGAGCATGAAAAAGAGCAGTTTACAAGTGCTACAGACTTATTCGACTGTAGCCTCAAATGCGTTGCTCTCATTCCCTTATTTACCTTATCCTCGATTAACGAAACTGTAGCATCAGGAACCACCTTATTTAGGATACACAGTTTGTGCTTGAAGAATTAAGCTTACGTTCTCCTGTCGAAGGTAAAATTCCAGCAGCTGAATTGAGTTCACGAACTTGCCGTGGGTCTCCGACAATAATAATAGTAACAATAATAATAACCTTTTCGGTGCCCGGCTGTTTTGCTACCCGAAGGAAGCACAAGGGCTGAGATACTGCCAGGTTGCCCAAGCCTAGAAAGGAGCGGTCGAGATGCAGAGGTGGGGTCGGAACCGCCAACCCTTCGGTTAGTAAGTTCGCACCTTAATCAGCTGTCTAACACTACTCTGAATAGTATGCATAGCTTGGAGACCTTCACTAGAATACCTAAGTGGAGTTCATCCCTTGTTCCAACGTCTAGCTTCGGAACTGCTCTGAATTTGGAATACGCACGTCAAAGCGCCAGTTTCTATAGCCCTTTAAACTGGAAGTCACGTTTTCTGGTGTTATTTACCACATATTGTCTTTTTCCCACACCTGATATCCTTTAATGCAACTCTCCACAAGCAGCCCTAGTTATACTGTCGCTAAAGGTTCGAAACCGACCTCTGCCTCTCGACGTTCCCTGTCTAGGCTTGGGCAACCTGACAGTATCCCAGCCCTCGTGCTTCCTTCGGGTGGCATGGCAGCTAGGTACCGAAAGAGCGCTACAGCTGAACGATTACTTATTAGTATTAGAGGATTTACCTGTGAAGTTGAGTGGTCATCATGCAGCAACCAAAAGCCTGAATGTGTGGTCCGACACTGGGGAAGTAGTACTCCCATGTACCTGTTCCTATTCACCTTGAGAATTAATTCTAGTACACTCATACTTCTCAGGTAGAGTTGACAGAATGCAGGTCTTCCGATTTCATTCTGTTGGAACTTAGCGCTCTTTGATTGTCGTTTCTGCCGTTCTCTTTTACATCATGGGCGAAAGAGGACAGTGGCTCGCGACAAAGGTATGTTACTTGCGGTCGTTCAGTTTCGAAGCGAAGTCTTATCCAAGGTGTAGATCTGACTGTGCAGACCTGTATACGGGAGGACATTATACTGTCATGTAAGACCCATCAAGCCGAGCTTTATCCAAATATGATATATGTTTTAACTTATGACTGAGGATAGCTTCTCAGTTCTTTGGCTCCATGCTTCTACACGCAGGAGGTCCGTCATCCAAGTACACCCTTACAACCGATGATGCAAGCGGATCCATTAGTTTCTTTCAAATCGCGAATCCACAGATATCTTCTACTTCTGAGGAATGTATTCGTTATCACTTCGGAACCTATACTATTCAGCTAGTCTGTTGAAATGTTTTCAGTTCTGAATCTGTGCGATTGTAAAAGACCCTATGGACCTTCATAATGCCGGTGAAAGCAGCTGTAGCGGGAGCAGATAACTTGGTAAAGTATGAGTAAAATTTCTGAACGAACCTCCGGGTAATCCACTTAGATACTTCGTTCCCTGCAAGACGCTTCATTGGCCGACTTCCTCCCGGCACTGGTAGATGAAGGCCAACGTGTAGTAGCTCAGCAATCCACTTCTCAAAATTCATTGTGTGCCTTAAGCACAAGGGTGAGGTTGGCGCAGTCGATTTGCTTGTCAAAGTCAACACTGTTACTATGCACTTTCTGTTTGTCTTTTTCACGCTTCTATGATGACAGACTGCTAGTTTTACATGCGCTAGGAGTTAGTTTTATGTTCGTATCCCATGAAGACTCAACTATGAACTACGCGGAGCTGGGTGCATGATCTCATGGGTATGCGCATGATTTCTGAACGCCGTCTGGATAATTCTCTTCACTGTCATCAGGGCAAATAACGTGGAGCATTTGTTTTTGTGACCGTTTGGTATACTTCACTTGTCGCGTCTTGAGAACTGTCGAGTAATTCGCGATCTCAGTGCTGCTTGTCCCGTTTGCGGTGTGTCGTGTAAAAGCTGAGCGATAGTTAATGCCTTAAGTACCAGGTGATATAAACTCTCCAGGTTGAGAGGTGGAACACGCACTGTGACTTGCTCTGCAAAAATGGTAGTGTACTTGCATTTTCCGCCAACGCCGCTGCTTTGCAGTCAGACTCTTGAGCCAAAGGCTTTGGTCGAAGTTTCTAATCGTCCTGTCGTCCAGGCTTGGGGGCTCTCGTATTATCTCAGCCCAGCTACAACCTACGGCATCCTTGTCAACACTGATGTCGCTGTCTCTGATGACGAGTCATGATGAGTCATCCATCCAAGTTTTCAAGAAGTAGCCGAAACTTTGAGCAAGAAATCCCAATCAGGACGTTGCATTCTTAGCCGCTGAACTAACCGCCGTAATACACACGACCCAAGGCAGTCTGACTACGTTCACATTGAACACGGTACTGTGGCCAAAGTACGTGTCTGTTGGCAGTGTCGAATTGATTGATCGCAGGCCTTGCAACTTGCTTTTGTTGAAAAAACGATATCACGTTTTTAGACCACCTGATAAAGTAGACATTTGTGGCTTGGCGCCAAAACTAACCATTGCGTGGTTTTTGAGATCCGTCAGGTAGAGAACATGGTGTGGTGGTTTGTTTACCTCCGCAACCCATTTAGCTACACTGGGAGTTGTTCGTGTGACACACACTCATACTAGATTGTTCACTGGTTGGATGTCTGATCAACCTAGTCCTCCAGGTTTGGGTTGGAACATGTGTGGCGACTTGTTCCTGCCAAACGTTGCATCCCCGCTGTCATAGTTCTCAGTCAAAGGCTTTTGTTGAATAACCTAATCATCCCCGTCTAGGTTTGGGCGTCTTGGAAACATCCGGCCTAAGTACAATCACGAATCGCCACGTCGATGTCTGATCTAGTCCTCCAGGTTGGGGTTGGAACATGTGTGGCGACTTGTTCCTGCCAAACGTTGCATCCCCGCTGTCATAGTTCTCAGTCAAAGGCTTTTGTTGAATAACCTAATCATCCCCGTCTAGGTTTGGGCGTCTTGGAAACATCCGGCCTAAGTACAATCACGAATCGCCACGTCGGCCATCGCGTAATGCCATCAGCCGGATCGTCTTGCGTGCTGCATACAGCAGGGTAGGTAGGCGAAAATGCTTTGTCTGACACCCTTCTTCCCCTTCATATACTTTCCCTCCCACTCCCGCCACCCCACTAACAACGCTTTCGTAGGTCTGTCCTCTAGGACTGATGATCCCGTTCGTCTTGCATCCGTCTTGGCTGGATATTTGCTCGTCAGCTCGTGTGGGCAGCCTTCGACATCTCGAAGTTAATATTCAATCATCGATGCCCGGTCTTTCTGGCTGCTTTTAATGTTCGCATTCTGAAGCAAGCGTGACAACAAGGTGCTCTTCTTCTCACACTGGACTCGCTTGACATAGAAGCTTGCAGTGTACTCGAAACAGTACTTCAAGATGTTAGCACAATGAAAGAGATGACTGCCCCATCACCCTCCAATTGCTTCCGTTTGCACACCTCTGGCGATCCAGAAGTACTACTACAGGATGTGCGGGCGTCGGTATCCTAAGTCACCGGATGGACGGATTCTCGTTCAACTGGCTGCCCGTTAAAAGTCGCCCAACTGCGATTCGTGCAACGTCCGTGAAGGATTCTCACAAGCGAGGAGATGACCATTGTCTGCCTACTCCCTAACCAAATGTAGCTCTGACGTCATCAAAGATAAGTTATATGACGCATCAAATGCCATGTTACGGCGGACTAATAGAACGGATATCTTTGTGGTTGCCGCAGATCAGAATGCCCAATTTGACAGACTTTGCGTATCTGAGCCTCAATTGGGCAGTCGACTTGGATTGAGCACAGACAAAGCCAAATGACTGCTTCATCTGTGTGCTGGCCGCAGACCGTTTTTATGCGGCATTAGCTTCCGAAGTGACTGAAATTGTCCGGCCAGCCACGAATCCAGGTTGATACCATCGCCACCAGTTACTAGTGGCGCGGTTTGGCGCAGCTGGTTTTGGAAACCATTTGATGGTTCTGAGTCGCCTCTCTCTTCGTTTTCCGGATCCGCGTAAGGGACTGAAAAATCGCTTAGCAACCGAGAAGCTGGCAGATCCCGAAGCTAAACAAACTTATCATAGCAGTCCTATTGACTCTTCTAATTGCCCCACCTTCGGATGTGAATTCGAGGTCGACACTTTTTTTGCACAGAGTTCCACCCGGCACCACCAGGTCCGTTCAAGCACTTGATATTAGACGGAGCAGTGGCACCGCTTGGGTCTCGAAGAAATGTTCTCTCCGGTCACGAACATAATTCAGCGTGACGAATTATCACGCTTACACGGAGTTGAATCTGTACCATAAAGCTTGGTGGATACAGAAACCCAAGAAAATGGAAGAGCCGCGCAAAGCCGGGAATGCGCGAAGTTTACTTAGACTAATCCGCGCTACCGGTCCCTGAAAGCCACCGGTGAGCGAAACGATTAACAATGAAACTCACTCAACCGTCTCAACAAAATAGGACGCCTTGAAAGCTGGGTCGAACACTTTGAAAAGCAATTCTCCTGGTCATCTGATGCCACTTAATCGTATTGTCGAACTGCACTAGTGCCCCGGTTAGTGAAACTGGAACTCTTAAGTCAATGGATGCGTATGACTGCGCACGTACTCAGACTCCATCGAGCTACTGGTCCGAACGGCACCCCACCTTTATTGTCCAAGAATGAGGATGAAATCCTCAATAAGCTCTCGTCTGATCAATGCGCCTCAATTTAGGAAGGGTGGATTTCTCAAACAGCCGGCGAGAATCAGTAATATTACCTACTTTGAAAAACGGTGGTTATCACGGATGGATAGCCTTGATTCGAGTCGTGACAGGAATCTTGGCGTCGCCTATGCTTTGTCGCCTTATGGTGGCTCACGAAACACTGACTCAAGAGCAGTAAGCGGGGTTCCGGCCTGGTAGAGGTTGCATTGAGGAAATCCTGACACTCCTCAGGTTCTAGAGCAACACCATTCGTACAAACGATCCATAATTTTAGGATTCCTGGATTTCCAAGGCGCATTTGACTCGGTTGACCGTTCTGTTCACCTTAACACCGGATTACGCAGACGTTATTTGCGTCCTCGTCGGAAGGCGTATATTCCTCGAAGTGAACTAAAATAGGTCATCCTTTCATTTGGCATGCGCTTTGTACTCATAAATTGTAAGGTCATACACCTGAACACTGCACATGCTACTTAAGCCAAGGAGACACCGGAGGTCATGGAGTGTTTTACGTACCTTGGAGAATGTATTAGTTCCGATTCTAGTGTGGCAGATGAGATCAATGCACTAATCTGTCAGGCTCGGATCGCGCTGGCTAATTCGAGTCACCTATGGGATGCAAAGAACGTGTAAATCAAGCTACAGTGCGGGCTGTGTTATCGTTTGGCTGTGAGACGTGGTTTGTTGTAGCAGCGGAACCGAGACGTGATTAGGTGTTCGACAACTCTTGTCTCAAAAGCACTGCTCGTTTAGGTTTATGCCGGCGAATTCGTAACGAAACAATTAGAAACGAGCGTTCGGTTGTGCAACAGGAATTTCAATGGAAAAATGTCCAGCGCCAGAACTGCGGTGGTTATTACGTATGCTGAACTGTCGTTTACCGAATAACGCGCTGTTTACGGTGTCCAGTTTAGAGTGGCATATATAGAGCTTTGGTTAACCTCTGATCTGGTAGAGGGGTGTGTAAGAGATTACGGAATGTCTGTGTGTTGTCGGTGGCATTCGATTTCCAGGAATGGGTGTGTATGTACTCTCTCTGCACTATTGGGGACGCTGCAAAATTTTTCTACCAATGAATTCCAATAACTTTCCTGTTGTCACAGTGCTCTGCAGTGTTTGAATGAGCGTCTGGAGTTGTATGTATTTGAAACCGATTGTGGCAGGCTATCACTAAGTCTCTTCCACATCTACTTTCATTCTTTTCCTGAATATAAGGTAGTTTTTGTCAGGTAATTTTTAGGATTGGTTTTGAATGAATACACTTAATAATAATAATACACTTAATACGCTTAAGAAATACGGCAGTGAAGCATCGGTGTTGAACACTGATGTCATGCTGTCGATGATGATGATGACGCTTAAGGAAAAGGGTGGTTGGTTCTGCAGACAGCTATCGGAAACCATGGATAATCTCTAATCATCTAGACAGCTCAATACAGAAAGAATTCTTCTAGATAACAGGAATGAACTTCAGAGGGAATTAACTTTGAATAATAACAACAATAATGATAAGTCATTTAGATGCATTTTTGTCGTGCCGCCAGAAGTAATCACGACGGCTGCTATACAGTTAGGTTGCCCAAATCTAGACGGGAGAAGTCGAGATGGCGGGGTTGGATTCCAACCAAAGGCACTTATTAATTAAGCTCGTGCATTAACCACTGTGCTATCATGAGTTGGTGTAGCACCAAATTTGTGACCAGCGCTTTATGCATTTCCCAGTGAAGGACCAATTACCATTTGGAGACATTTGGAATCGAGGGTTGAATGGTTACCATGCGCCTGATAGAGGCGCGCAGGTGTTACTTATGTGGTCGTGAGTTGAGGACTTTGTAATTACCTGCATACTTTCCTCAACATCTTGTTTAATAGTGTTTCACTCACATTGGGACGCAAACTGGTTAACGTTCACAGTCAACATCTTTTTTGTGTTATTGTATCGAAGGCCGACTCACTCCGATCGCTAAATGGATTGCCGTCTATGTTATCCTGTCGGCGTGAAACGGTGACCGATAAGACCGCCGATTAACCGAGCGAACAAACTCCTGACTGGGCTTATGCCTAAAAAAGCGATGAAGCCGGCGCTTACATAAAGTGCTGGCCACCCTACTTCATTCGTCAACATCAGTGAAGCGAAATAACATCAGTCAACTTAAGACGTGCAAATGGTTCAGAAGGCCGCACAGGCATCGTCCACAAAAGGCCTAATAAGTTAATGTACGTAGCGTTTTTCGACTGAAAAATCAAAAAGGAAAGACAGTTAGGGCATCTCATTTCTCCCGTACATGAAGGTGTTCGAGTTGAAATACATTGAGGTGATTAAAGCCAGGCACACAGGAGAAGCCAACAAGCGCACAGAAATCACTGGATACGAAAACGCATTTTTTCAACTCAAATCTACACACTAGAAGAACACATACAAGAACAAACTGGCAGTTGCGATTCACTCCCCGATGGAGAGCAACAATGTTTCAAAGCAAACTGTCATGGTATGCTGTTTAGCGTAATTCAGTTTCCTCCAGCGGTTGGTTTCAGAGGATCGTCGCGCTCCGAATGCGACGACTAACTGGTGCATGGATGTTTTCTCGTTGCGTGGACGATCCAGTAGATGCCTATCATACTTGTTGTGAATAGACATGACTTCTATCCTCAGCATTTCCGTTCAGAATCGGGCATTGGTCGGTTCGTTTGTCGACTGTTTCAGTGTGGACACGTGCTGTCTCGTGTATGTGATTTTGATTATTTGGCTCCTGGTAAGCTTTGCCCAAGTTGGCCGATACATTAAGCCGTAAGATTCCGGTCAACGCCCGAACTACTTGACTACATTCCTATTGAATCTGGTGCGGGTAGTCCAGGTGGTTTACAGTTACCGGAGTGCTTGAAGAGGAGCTACACCTCAGCTGGTTCGCAGTATTTCCCCTTTTTTAAGCCTTTTAGGTCTATTGAACATGATTATCGAACCCAACCTCGGCATTTCAGCTGCCCCCATCTAGACCTGGGTTACCTGACAGTACCTCAGGCCTCGTGTTACCTTCGGCTGGCTTGGCGGCTAGGCCTCGAAAAGTTGAACATTTGAACTACTATTACTTGTGGATTTCGCCTACTTTTATTGCCAGCTTTTTCGAAGCATTTCAAAAGGTGGCCGATTCAGCGTACAGTAGTAACTGTGGCCTTCGGGAGTTGGGCAGTTCCATGACACGTTTCTGTCTGCGAGAACGTGGACTGGAATCCAGGCTACGGACATTCAACAGGTGAGCCCTATCGGCTATGGGTTTTTATAGGTTTGCTCATTGGCACTTAGTTGTCGCTTTTCTGCCGAACTCAATTGTTGCATGCAGCCATTTCGAACACCAGTTTGTATGTACATCATCCTGGGGGAATGTCATTACCTCTTCCCCGTGATCCGTCGTGCTACTATTGACAGAAGCCCGTGTACACCACCCTGCCAGCTGCGGACGAATTAGACCATTGGCTGGTACTACGCAAGCGCCTCCTTGGGCCGAGCCGACGATAATATGACTGTTCTCAGGCTTTGACACCACCTCCTCGAGGTCAACTGGTCTGACAACATAGTGCTATCACATTGCATTGTTGAATTGTCACGCAATTGCGTGGGCGTATACACGAGTCATAGATGTGCTGTTTGGATGAGGGGTCATGATTTGAGTAGCTACGCGAGCTCCTGACCCGCACTCGACAGGAGTTGTTCTGTCGTCCTGATAACAGTGGAGCCGGAGATAGGCGTTAGTGTTTCACCCGTAAGTCAACTGTTATGTAGGCGATTCTAACATATTTAGATAGCAATGATAGGTCACAGGGTTACCGAAATGTTTGCCATTGACTATAATTCTGGGAGCCTAGAAATACACTGGATGGTCAGGTGGCAGCGGATAAACACCATCAGTCCACACTGTACAACCCAATCACATTGATGCGTTTTCCGATTCTGTGCACTTGCACAGTGACAGCCTTCACTGAAGGAGAGGAGTAAACAGAAGGCAAAGATAAACAAAACCACTGGCTTACATTTCTCCATGCGTCATGGCTGCCACTCATGGGGTTCATATAGAGTGAAGCCAGCCAACGATCTTTTTCGCGGCTTGTTTAGATTTCAAATTTCGGTTTTTCCTACTGTGGAAAGCTGCTACCATCAGATTTGATCGATATGAGGGTTCCAAACCCTTCTCAACCCAAATGGTTCGGTTTGTCACAGGACTAAACACTTGTAATTCAAACATTCGTCTTTAACTCAGTCGTACACTTTTAGGAACCTAATTGTCTGTTTTTCCTATGAATTGTGCCGCTAATTTGCATGAAATTTGCATATATGTAACAGACGCATCTGTGCCTCTTTTTTAGAGGGTAGTTTAGGGTTGGAACAGCAGTGGCTGAATAGGTGTCAATGTTCACGTCGTTACCGAAATCAGTACACTAGTTTTTGGCCACTCCCTTACGGAGTCCAAACAATGCGCTTTCCTTCAGCCAGTTTGTGACACCCTCGAAGTGCTCTTATCAGAATCCCCCTCTCTATGTGTTGAATGATCGGGAGTGCACAGAAACCATGGGTTCGTGATATGGGTTTCACAGAACTATGCAACAGCCCAGACATTGAAGCGATGCACGAAGGCTTGTCCGTGCGATTTGAAGAATCCGAAGAATCCATTTAATACAGAGATAAGCTATGTAGCCACTGCAGTTCGAGACGTTCAGGAATCCGGGTTATCCTCACGCAGCAGCTTCATCTACAGGAACCGCCAATACAACCATGCACTCGCGCCTCTAGGTCTGTTGTTCTAGCCCACCCGCGGCATCTTGACTGCTTTGTAGGCTTAAGCGACCTGGTAGCATCTTAGCCCTGAGGCTTTCTTTGGGGTGAACGGGAATTAGGCACCGGAAGTGTTTTACAGACGAATGACCATGCTTATTATTGATATTATTATTACTATTATTTTGTCCGGGTGAAGCGACTCAATCGTAATTGCTCGTGTTGAAAAAGTGGTACCTTATTGTTTCAAGAAGCGACTTGTTTCGTGAAAGCTCAACGTGTATCAACAGCATTGGGGAAGGAAATACGTGGCCCTTCTTTGGAGGTCCGGAGAAATCGCCCTTGTGGGCGCTCATCGGATCGCCCTTTCTTCTGAGAGTTCTTGTTATTTCCTCATTCTCATTTTAAAATTAATTACAACGTCATGATTTCGTCAATCCAGTAAAGGCTAACTGGGGAATTAGTTTTGGATGACTTCGCCACTGAGTTTCCCATTTAGGCCAAATTCAAGTCGAATCTGAAGGCAGATTTTTCTCAGGGTTAATAGTCATTCCAGTAATACTGGTTATGTGGAGGGTAAAACTTATTGTGGAGATTACCGCTTTTTTCATGTGGCAACTCCCTCTTTCTGATCATTTTCATTTCTCTATACCATTCCTACAGTCAGCTGCTTGAATGCCTAGCAGCACCTCTCACCGATCGATTGGAAGAATGGCGCCGAACTGTGATACAGCTGGACCGCGAGAATAACAAAGAGTGGCGACGGGCTCGAAACGAACTCCAGCGAGTCACCTGTGAATTTGATAAACTGAATAAACGGTTCCGTCGGAAGGTAAGAACGCTGCATGACATTTCGATGTTTCGACTGGATAACTGACTGACTGTCGGTTCTGTCGGGCTATTTTTTTATACTTCTGTTCATAGTGCTGCCTGTAAGCAATACGGCCAATGAATTGACGAAAAATAACGGCAAGTTATGTTGCACTGATTGTCGGTTCTGTCGGGCTATTTTTTTATACTTCTGTTCATAGTGCTGCCTGTAAGCAATACGGCCAATGAATTGACGAAAAATAACGGCAAGTTATGTTGCGTGACGTGCTCTGAATTCGCGGAGTACCAATATTCACACTCACATCACTCTTGTTTGAATACTCGTCCTCTTATCCTGGCGCAATCATTCTGGGGAGCCCACACCAAAGAGAGGAAGCACTGGACTCAAATTTCGTTTCTGTTAGAGCTCATCCGCAGGGCATGCCGGGTTTATGAGCGTTCATGGTGGGAAGTCCTGACAGGCGGGTCAGTCGATCCGAACAACCAGAACAGTTACTGTGTCGTCTTTCGAGGCGTTGGGTCAACCAATCAGGTGACATATTCGCCTGTTCAAAATAATAAAAAAATTGTTCAGCTGTAACACCCTTTCGGTACCTAGTTGCCACGCCACTCGGAGGAGGCACGAGCGCTGGAATACTATCAGGTTGTTCAGTCTTACAGGAGAAATCGAGATGCAGAGGTCGGGTTCGAACCACAGACCTTCCGGTCAGTAAATTCGTGCTCTAACCACCAAGCCATCTCCCCCTTGCCTGTTCAGAAGTGAAAATTCAGACCCGTCCAGCGTGCACTGGTGGAGTAGCAATGATGGCACACTCGCCACACATCTAAGATTAGCGGAGTTCGAACCCTGGTACAATTCACTGCTGTCGAGCTCTAGTAATAATGAAACTCGAATCCAGTGCCTTCACCATTTTTGCGCCAAGACAGTAGGACTACTGATCAGACGAGTGATGTGAGTGTGAATGCTACAGACCCCGTGACCAATGTTGAATTTATTTTTGAAAACATTACAATAAACTGTGAAGTTGTTAAATCGATCTTACGATGCCTTAAAGAACTACTGAACTACTGATATCGTCAAAAACACAATGTCGGTTGATAATTTCCGTTCCAGTATACCAGATCGAATCATTATTTAGCCTACTTGTAAGTTAGCAGTGAGGGATTCTAGTTTCTATCCCTAAGATGAGATGGTTGTAAAAACTACCATAGATTTCCTTCACTTCTTAAATGTACACAAATTCATGACTGTTATCAAACTAGGCGTGTTGTCCAAAGCGTACAAAATATGGCGAAAAAATAGCCGACTACTTTTCTACGTTGTGCACTGGTTAGACCTCAGCTACCGCCGAAATAAATTAACTCAAGCGGCAATTAATAGGAAACTGAAGATTGTACTCTCCCAAGTGCAGTTTACCTTATTGCTTTGTCGTTTTAAGCTCTGGGTAGTTGGGCTGTTAGGACCATGAACTCGTGACCGGGAGGTCCATGTTTCGAATCCAGCTATGAAAATTTGATTGTCTAAACTTTAAAACATGGCTGTTTCTTGTCGCCCGAGTTGCACTTCAACTATGCACCTAAAGGGTGGCAAAACATGGCTATCTAAAACATGGCTGTTTTTTGTCCCTCGTACGTCGCCCGAGTTGCATTTCAACTATGCACCTAAAGGGTGGCAAAACGGAATGATTATTTTATTTGATTATTGGGTTCAAGAATTTTCGGCTGGCTGTCAGAAAATTTACTTTTGTACGAAATTTTTCAGAAATCCACGTATTAAATGATCCTACGCGTTTCTTTGAAGAAATCTTGAGATTGTCAGTGTGGCTGATTTGCGTTGTCCATTCACTGTAACAAGAAAACTTAGTTGAGAAACAAATGTGTGTCCCTTTAGCCCATCCGACCCCCTTTAGTCCTGTCCACGGTACCTCTGTGCCATCACATCTGAACGACATTCACTATCGGGAAGTATCACATCCCCGCATAACTGTATTTACACTGAGTATGTCCAAATGCACAGGCGAAGCTTGTTTCAGTTGTCCGGATGCACACCTGTTCACCGACTTTCCGAGCGATTTTGTCCCGTTTGTGGATCTTCAAATGGGTGTAGTTGATCATTCAGTCTTTTTTTTACAGCTAATGCCTCAGTCTGACATTGACATGTATGACTGAAGGATTTGAAAGTTCTCCCTTGTAGAATAGTTTTTTCGACATCATCGCTACGATGTTTCAGGCCTTCGGTCTGGAATACTAGTCTTTCCTGATCTGCTGTTTGATACAATCTAGCCGATCTCTCTCCCCAGAATGATCTCGTTTTGACCCGAAACCCTTGTCCACTCGCACGTCCTTGTTTTGACTACTCGAGTCTTGGCCATGGTAGCTTCGAAATACCGAGCTTGGTCACTTTTTTCGTTAGTTAGTTACCGTACGCTTATTTTTCGCTGGTCCACAGTCAAACCGCCCAGACGTTTTGCTTTCCCAAACATCACTCGCCATACACGCACCTTCGTACACACACACACACACACACATGCATGCATCTCTTCGTCACGGTGTCGCTGCAACATGCACTGCTTCCGTTTCCTCGGTTGTTTATCGTAGCCATTCTCTTGTTTCTGTCCTATCTTCTGGGAGCACTTGTGTCTGCATATATATGTGCGTTTGCACGCTTCTGCCTTTTTGGACTGTTACACCTCGCCACTACGTGTGCCTTGTTATAAACGTGGTATACAAGTCCCATCCGTTTCGGACCGTTTTGTACCCCTGCTGTGCACCTCTGTCTGCCACTAAAAGGACGCGGTCATCGACTAATGGACGCAAACTTTTCAGACACATAAACGTATGCCCCGCAAGCACACGATTTCGGGGTAGCACCACCAATGTCATGATTTCATGCATGGTTTATAACCCACTATGCGACCGAGATTGGTTGCTTGGTTGGTTGATTTGTTGCACAGACCCATATACGGTTTTTAACTAATTGTCTTGTGAATCATTGGGATTTCTAATTATACGGGCGGTTTCCCATGGTTTGCGAGAACTGCGTTTGCGCAAACCACGTGTTAACGCAGCGTGCCTCAACTTGAAATTCCCTCCCTCCTATAGGTTGTCAGTTTGATAGTCATCATCATGTGCACAACTTTCAGGGATTGTCACAGTTGCCACAGTTTCATTCAGTAATCTGCTCACCAGCGGTAAGACTACTCTTCTTGAATGAGGCAAAGAAACGGGTCACCTATAACGACTCTACGTGAGCTGCGACAGTGATTAGGAAGCGTCAGGTGTAACACGGCTGTGAGACAAAAAGTACCGTTTTACTTAGCGAATATACACTCATCTGCAAACTAATTTGGTTCTTTCGAGAGACTCACCTGGAACCCAGCTGAATCTCTCGTTTATGATGTTCTCAGGCATTAGTACATTACAAATATACATGTATCGCGATATTTCAAATATCGTAGCGACTGAAACATGAGGCGGCCTGGTGCAGCACATTCAGTTGCCTGAGAACATCATAAACGAGAGATTCAGCTGGGTTCCAGGTGAGTCTCTCGAAAGAACCAAATTAGTTTGCAGATGAGTGTATATTCGCTAAGACTGCGCCTACCTGATGAGCCCCAAGAAGGGCGAAACCGGTCGTGGGCTGTCGATGGATTTTCAGCAACCTTATGAGTAGTACATTACACATATACCGTTTTACTTCTTTTATTTTTCGGCCAATATATGTGTGCGCTTTTCAAGACGGGGTAGGCAGTCAAACTGAAATCGCCTACTCAGGGAAATGTACCCGAACCGTCGAAACGGAAGTCTGTGATGTTAACTGTCGGGGGGAGGGCCCGAACTCTTCTCAAGTTTTCCACCTCTGTTGTCCCATTGCGCAGAATGTGCTTCACTTGTGGGACACTTTCAACCCATAAACCATGAGGATATGATCATATGCTATCTATGCGCTGATTCCTTGTCTACCGAAATGCGTGTTTTTTGCTCTGGGGTGAGTGTTTGCGAGACACGTTAGAAGAGGACGTCACAAACGGATTTTACATCACCTGTTATGTCAGTTTCTGGCATCTGATTTTGAACAAGTGATTGAAGCTCATGACGAACACAACTCTTGTTGGGTGACGTGGGTGGGAACCTTACTTCTAAAGGTGTTCCGTCTAACCGGTTGATTGACAGGTCTTTTGTTGTTGGGTTATTTCTGGGTACACCTAAACGAACCAGCCGTACCCTCGCAACAGTGGACATCATTGGGACTGGAAAGAAGCTTTGCTGTCCGCAGTACAGACGAAATGATACCAGCGCCTTGCATTAACTCGGGATAGTTTGCCCGTCGTAGTTGTATTAAACTATCGTTTCCGTTCACCTGTGCATGGGGCTACTCACTCCTTCGTCCGGTTCGCTTCTTTCACTACTTGCTGAATCGAACGAACTTCCAGAAAGCCCACGCAGATCTTTCTATTAGGGGATTGTCCTGTAGCAGGAGGTCCCGCGTGCGTTAATATCTAACTTGCATACTGGGAACCTGCTTATTGCTTATAACTCTATACTTTCCATGTTCTCTTTGTAGGTGAGCATTACTCACTTAGTATTGCTCTTTGTACAAACATTTTGAGTGCGCAGCAGATGTTTTTTTGTCACGCCAAGATCGCTTTCCGTGCTTCTTTGTGCTCAGGGGGCGAGATGGCCCAATTGGTTAGAACACGAATTTACTGACCGAAAGGTCCGTGGTTCAAACCCGACCTCTGACTCTCGACTTTCCCTGTCTAGGCTTGGGTAACCTGGTAGTATCCCAGCCCTCGTGCAACCTTCGGGTGTTACGCGTGTTGTTTTGTGGTATGAGACGTGGTTGAAAGTATCCAATGTGAGCGAAGAACTGATAACCCACAGATAACTGTCCCGTTTTTTCATACATTCTCAGCATACGCACACATGTGCCCATTGTACTGGAGCCAGCCATTGCTGCAGAAAAATCGATGCAAACAAGGGCAGCAGGTCGTCCGTGTA